GCCGGGATTTTGGACCTCTGGTTTTCTAGCCCTTCTTTGGGAGCTCCGGCCGGGGACACAGAGGGAGCAACCTGCAAAACAGCACTGGGCCTATTTCAAGAGTATTGAATTGAGGCACGTTTCATTACAGTAACGTGCAGGGTCACACGGTATTTACGCATGTGTTCTGTTCCCCAATGACTACCCATATGCAGCGGGGTGTGGTGGCGCACGCCTGTGATCCCAGAACCCCGAAGGCCTGGGCTGTAGAAGAAAGTTCAAGGTTAGCCCGAAGTGCAGAGAGACCCGGCCTCAAAAAGACAAAAGTAAATAAATAAATAAGGTCTCCAGTGTGTAGTTCGGGCTGGCCTTGTGCTCACTTTGCAGCCCAGGCTGCTGTCGAACACACAGCAATCCTCCTGCCACCACCTCCCGAGTGCTGGGATTAAGGTGTACAACAACATCATGCCTGGAAGGAGATGCTATTTTAAAACAAACAAAAAGCCAACACAACAGGGGAACACTGCCAGCCAGCACTTCAAAATGTTCTGCTTTCCTTTCTGCCTTTAGTGGACCCATATATAGAACTTTATGTTGTTTATTTGTAAAGGCGTGCATGTGTGCCTCTGCAGCCTTGTGCACCCCAGTCTGCGGAGGATTGAACCGTGGTCCCTGTGCGCTTGCCTAAGCAGGCACTTTAGACCGCTGAACTATCTCGCTGGCCTCTATACACCTAACATTATAGCTAACAAAATATTGGACCTTCCCCCGCTGAGGTCAGTCTACAATATTTTGTTTATTTATTTATTTATTTAATTGGCCACAAGTGCCCTGAAGGCATTTGAGGAAGCAAAAAAAAAAAAAAAAAAACACCTTATTTATTTATTTTGGTGAAACCGGGGATTGAACTCAGGCCCTTGAGCTTGCCAGGCAAGTGCTTAGTCCACTGAGCCATCTCCCTGGCTACAATATTGTTTATTTATTTTTATTTATTTATTTATTTAATTGGCCACAAGTGCCCTGAAGGCATTTGAGGAAGCAAAAAAAAAAAAAAAAAAACACCTTATTTATTTATTTTGGTGAAACCGGGGATTGAACTCAGGCCCTTGAGCTTGCCAGGCAAGTGCTTAGTCCACTGAGCCATCTCCCTGGCTACAATATTGTTTATTTATTTTTATTTATTTATTTATTTAATTGGCCACAAGTGCCCTGAAGGCATTTGAGGAAGCAAAAAAAAAAAAAAAAAAACACCTTATTTATTTATTTTGGTGAAACCGGGGATTGAACTCAGGCCCTTGAGCTTGCCAGGCAAGTGCTTAGTCCACTGAGCCATCTCCCTGGCTACAATATTGTTTATTTATTTTTATTTATTTATTTATTTAATTGGCCACAAGTGCCCTGAAGGCATTTGAGGAAGCAAAAAAAAAAAAAAAAAAACACCTTATTTATTTATTTTGGTGAAACCGGGGATTGAACTCAGGCCCTTGAGCTTGCCAGGCAAGTGCTTAGTCCACTGAGCCATCTCCCTGGCTACAATATTGTTTATTTATTTTTATTTATTTATTTATTTAATTGGCCACAAGTGCCCTGAAGGCATTTGAGGAAGCAAAAAAAAAAAAAAAAAAACACCTTATTTATTTATTTTGGTGAAACCGGGGATTGAACTCAGGCCCTTGAGCTTGCCAGGCAAGTGCTTAGTCCACTGAGCCATCTCCCTGGCTACAATATTGTTTATTTATTTTTATTTATTTATTTATTTAATTGGCCACAAGTGCCCTGAAGGCATTTGAGGAAGCAAAAAAAAAAAAAAAAAAACACCTTATTTATTTATTTTGGTGAAACCGGGGATTGAACTCAGGCCCTTGAGCTTGCCAGGCAAGTGCTTAGTCCACTGAGCCATCTCCCTGGCTACAATATTGTTTATTTATTTTTATTTATTTATTTATTTAATTGGCCACAAGTGCCCTGAAGGCATTTGAGGAAGCAAAAAAAAAAAAAAAAAAACACCTTATTTATTTATTTTGGTGAAACCGGGGATTGAACTCAGGCCCTTGAGCTTGCCAGGCAAGTGCTTAGTCCACTGAGCCATCTCCCTGGCTACAATATTGTTTATTTATTTTTATTTATTTATTTATTTAATTGGCCACAAGTGCCCTGAAGGCATTTGAGGAAGCAAAAAAAAAAAAAAAAAAACACCTTATTTATTTATTTTGGTGAAACCGGGGATTGAACTCAGGCCCTTGAGCTTGCCAGGCAAGTGCTTAGTCCACTGAGCCATCTCCCTGGCTACAATATTGTTTATTTATTTTTATTTATTTATTTATTTAATTGGCCACAAGTGCCCTGAAGGCATTTGAGGAAGCAAAAAAAAAAAAAAAAAAACACCTTATTTATTTATTTTGGTGAAACCGGGGATTGAACTCAGGCCCTTGAGCTTGCCAGGCAAGTGCTTAGTCCACTGAGCCATCTCCCTGGCTACAATATTGTTTATTTATTTTTATTTATTTATTTATTTAATTGGCCACAAGTGCCCTGAAGGCATTTGAGGAAGCAAAAAAAAAAAAAAAAAAACACCTTATTTATTTATTTTGGTGAAACCGGGGATTGAACTCAGGCCCTTGAGCTTGCCAGGCAAGTGCTTAGTCCACTGAGCCATCTCCCTGGCTACAATATTGTTTATTTATTTTTATTTATTTATTTATTTAATTGGCCACAAGTGCCCTGAAGGCATTTGAGGAAGCAAAAAAAAAAAAAAAAAAACACCTTATTTATTTATTTTGGTGAAACCGGGGATTGAACTCAGGCCCTTGAGCTTGCCAGGCAAGTGCTTAGTCCACTGAGCCATCTCCCTGGCTACAATATTGTTTATTTATTTTTATTTATTTATTTATTTAATTGGCCACAAGTGCCCTGAAGGCATTTGAGGAAGCAAAAAAAAAAAAAAAAAAACACCTTATTTATTTATTTTGGTGAAACCGGGGATTGAACTCAGGCCCTTGAGCTTGCCAGGCAAGTGCTTAGTCCACTGAGCCATCTCCCTGGCTACAATATTGTTTATTTATTTTTATTTATTTATTTATTTAATTGGCCACAAGTGCCCTGAAGGCATTTGAGGAAGCAAAAAAAAAAAAAAAAAAACACCTTATTTATTTATTTTGGTGAAACCGGGGATTGAACTCAGGCCCTTGAGCTTGCCAGGCAAGTGCTTAGTCCACTGAGCCATCTCCCTGGCTACAATATTGTTTATTTATTTTTATTTATTTATTTATTTAATTGGCCACAAGTGCCCTGAAGGCATTTGAGGAAGCAAAAAAAAAAAAAAAAAAACACCTTATTTATTTATTTTGGTGAAACCGGGGATTGAACTCAGGCCCTTGAGCTTGCCAGGCAAGTGCTTAGTCCACTGAGCCATCTCCCTGGCTACAATATTGTTTATTTATTTTTATTTATTTATTTATTTAATTGGCCACAAGTGCCCTGAAGGCATTTGAGGAAGCAAAAAAAAAAAAAAAAAAACACCTTATTTATTTATTTTGGTGAAACCGGGGATTGAACTCAGGCCCTTGAGCTTGCCAGGCAAGTGCTTAGTCCACTGAGCCATCTCCCTGGCTACAATATTGTTTATTTATTTTTATTTATTTATTTATTTAATTGGCCACAAGTGCCCTGAAGGCATTTGAGGAAGCAAAAAAAAAAAAAAAAAAACACCTTATTTATTTATTTTGGTGAAACCGGGGATTGAACTCAGGCCCTTGAGCTTGCCAGGCAAGTGCTTAGTCCACTGAGCCATCTCCCTGGCTACAATATTGTTTATTTATTTTTATTTATTTATTTATTTAATTGGCCACAAGTGCCCTGAAGGCATTTGAGGAAGCAAAAAAAAAAAAAAAAAAACACCTTATTTATTTATTTTGGTGAAACCGGGGATTGAACTCAGGCCCTTGAGCTTGCCAGGCAAGTGCTTAGTCCACTGAGCCATCTCCCTGGCTACAATATTGTTTATTTATTTTTATTTATTTATTTATTTAATTGGCCACAAGTGCCCTGAAGGCATTTGAGGAAGCAAAAAAAAAAAAAAAAAAACACCTTATTTATTTATTTTGGTGAAACCGGGGATTGAACTCAGGCCCTTGAGCTTGCCAGGCAAGTGCTTAGTCCACTGAGCCATCTCCCTGGCTACAATATTGTTTATTTATTTTTATTTATTTATTTATTTAATTGGCCACAAGTGCCCTGAAGGCATTTGAGGAAGCAAAAAAAAAAAAAAAAAAACACCTTATTTATTTATTTTGGTGAAACCGGGGATTGAACTCAGGCCCTTGAGCTTGCCAGGCAAGTGCTTAGTCCACTGAGCCATCTCCCTGGCTACAATATTGTTTATTTATTTTTATTTATTTATTTATTTAATTGGCCACAAGTGCCCTGAAGGCATTTGAGGAAGCAAAAAAAAAAAAAAAAAAACACCTTATTTATTTATTTTGGTGAAACCGGGGATTGAACTCAGGCCCTTGAGCTTGCCAGGCAAGTGCTTAGTCCACTGAGCCATCTCCCTGGCTACAATATTGTTTATTTATTTTTATTTATTTATTTATTTAATTGGCCACAAGTGCCCTGAAGGCATTTGAGGAAGCAAAAAAAAAAAAAAAAAAACACCTTATTTATTTATTTTGGTGAAACCGGGGATTGAACTCAGGCCCTTGAGCTTGCCAGGCAAGTGCTTAGTCCACTGAGCCATCTCCCTGGCTACAATATTGTTTA